ACGAACAATTATAGCCTTAAAAAATATACCCTTGAAAAAGAATTACTATAGTAATTACCATAATATTAATGGTAATTATTCATGTTAAAATGTATAGCAAGAAAAAAATAGAAACTAAAACCTTGAAGGTTAAAAAATAATAGGGATATTTAAAATTTTATATAAAATTAATTAAAACTTTTTAAACCTCACATTCCTAATACAGACATTATTTGTTAATATCATTATTAAAAAGTACATAGAAGAAAAATCACATGTTAAAAATTCATTTATATCTTATTAAAGTTGACTCGCTCTAGGAGACGCAATAAGGTCGCGAAATGTAATGACGCAATATTGTATTACGGATATATATATATATATATATATATATATATATATATATATATATATATATATATATATATATATATATATATATATATATATATATATATATATATATATATATATATATATATATATATATATATATATATATATATATATATATATATATATATATATATATATATATATATATATATACATCCTTAGTACAATATTGCGTCATTACAATTTGGCAACACTGTAGGACGCAATAAAGTCTGTACAAGCCATATAAAATTTAAAATGAAATATACACGTGACGCAATATTATATCAAGATTAAAATGAGTTGATAATGTAGTGACTTTTGAACAAAAAGTGTATATCTTTTTTAAGATAAAAAAAATCTGACCAGATTTTTGGAATCAGCAAAAAAAAGTACGCCAATATACTCTTCTATATTTTCGCTAAATACCGTATTTCTAGTAGACGCAATAAGGTCGCGAATTGTAATGACGCAATATTGTATTAGGGATGTATATATATATATATATATATTTATATATACAGACATTATTTGTTAATATCAATATTAAAAATTACATAGAAGAAAAATCACATGTTAAAAATTCATTTATATCTTATTAAAGTTGACTCGCTAAATACCGTATTTCTAGGAGACGCAATAAGGTCGCGAAATGTAATGACGCAATATTGTATTACGGATATATATATATATATATATATATATATATATATATATATATATATATATATATTAGGGTGTGCCAAAAAAACTCGAAATAGTTTTTTTCTTGCTCTCCACCCAAAATATCGTAGAATATGTTCGAACAAATATTCTGTTAAAAGCGGAGATCATAATTTCAATTTTAAGAGGTCCCTCATCGAATCTGAAGTTTTGCCGCTTAAATAGCACAGAAAACTGACCTTTTTACCTTATTTATTCTTGCAACCTAGGAAGAAATTTTTTTTTCATAAAATCCATGACCAAATCTTACAAAGCATTAAACTTGGACGAAAAAATCTTATTAAGCCGAATTTCTATTTTCATTATTTGATTTTTTACAGAGCTTTAAATTTAAAATTTTACGTTTTTTGCCCTTTTCAGCTAAACTATTGAAGTTAGACGAAAAACTCAAATGGCAATTTTTTAGCTTGTCTGATGGACCACAAAAAAGTTTTAGGCGAATTTTTTATATCGTCAATATTCTAAAAGTTACAGGCGTATAAAGTCATCATTTTTGTATTATTAACTTTAAATTTAAAGCTATGTAAAAAATTAAATAATGAAAATAGAAATTCGGCTTGATAAGATTTTTTTGTCCAAATTTAATGCTTTGTAAGAATTAGTCATGGATTTTATGAAAAAAAAAGTCTTCCTAGGTTGCAAGAATAAATAAGGTAAAAAAGTCAGTTTTCTGTGTTATTTAAGCGCCAAAACTTCAGATTCGATGATGATGATATTATATTATATTATATTATATTATATTATATTATATTATATTATATTATATTATATTATATTATATTATATTATATTATATTATATTATATTATATTATATTATATTATATTATATTATATATTATATATTTTAAATTGAAAACGCCAAATGTACCAACGTGACATACACCTTAAGATAGGATGGTGTGCATGTTGAGCGGGGCTTAAATACGTCACTTGATGAGTGTTTTTAAATCTTTAAGGTGCTTTTTAATTATCTGCTGCTAAAATTTTTGTTTTTGCGATGCTGTTGGATGTTAACTTGCTATTTGTTGTTTAACTTGTTGTTTTTGCGTTCGGTAAGGTTCGAATTACTTTTCAGTGTTCAAATTATTATTATTGCGTTGTGTTAACCTGTTCTGTTTGTTTATTATTATTTTTGTATTGCATTAACTTGTTTTGTTTGTGTTTTAGTTTGTGTCGTGGCATTTTTATTTATTAAAATGCGGTGTGGCATATTTGGATGCAATTCGGACAAACAGTCCAAAAAACCCTTTAAATAAATACATTAAATTTAATCGATTCCCGAAAAACTTTGATTTGTGGAAACAGTGATTAAATACCACAAAAAGAATAGACAATATTAACGTTAAGACTGCTTTTGTTTCCACTATACCTTAAACATTTTCTGGACAGTGACTATAAGTTTAATTTAAAACACCAACGCTTAAACTAAAATGTTATCAAGGATTAAAAGCATCTATTATCCCTATTATAAAACTTTTTTCAATATTAAGTTTAATAAAAACGCACTGTGTCCAGATATTTCTCCATTTTCTTTGATAATATTACTATTATTCATGTATTCGCACGGCAACTACTCATCAAGTGAGGTCATGCGCGGCACGAACCAAAACTCGTACACGAGATCATCCAGCCCTGATTCAAACCTACACTAGATCTCACTAGTGGTGTAGATAATAATACAATCACGAAGTCTACAGAGATCTTGTTTACAATTTACTCTATTCCACGGTCTTAAATACAACATTTTTTGGTGCACCCCTTAAAATGGTTCCAAATCACGCACAGAGAAGTAATCTGACTAAAATTTATTTTTTGATTGATATTAACCTATAAAACACTTTAAACTCAAAAATCGAAACTTTTAAGCAGTAAAAAATAGTAGACTATGTCATAAGGAGTATAAGCGACTCTTTTGACGGCCGAAGCGTAGCTGAGGCAGGCAACTGTACGAAGCACAAAAAGAGCTTCTACTCCAAATAACATATACAATTTTTTTTTCAAGGGCGTAATATAAATAGGATAAGCAATGGAATTATTTTATTTACTCTTAACTTATGTGGTATAAAATTTTGGCTAAAAGCATTAGAAATTATTGATAAAAACTAAAAAAACTTATAGTCCTTACTTACAATGCCGATAAATATCCTAAACTAAAAATAAACACTGCTTTGTCAAAATTCTGCGCTTGAATTAATTTTGGCGTACTGACATTTGTTTGGAGTTCCGACATTGGCGACTCGTCTATTATCATAATATTATACTAATAAACTAGTTGTTCTTTATTTCGTTCAATTAAAATTTAATAAATAATCACTATATTCCGTGCGATTATAATTAATATATATTTATATTAATTATAATATATTATATATATCACGATGTATACATCGTGATTGCTTTGTATGAAATGCTAAATTAATTTTATTATTTGACGTCTATAAAGACACCTATGGATTTACTTCTATCCCTAGGCTTTTTTGAGTTTTTTGTCTGCCGCTAATGAAAAAGACGCACTTCAACTATCTCTACACAGATTATATATCATGGCCGCTTGAAAAAAAAAAGGTATTTTATGTGTTTTTTTCGTGAAACCGTCCATTTAAGGGATATCGAAGGTAAATATTTGAAATAAATCAAAATAAAAAGTGTTGTCATGACAATACATTATCTTCTTATTTTTCTGATTTTATAAGTGGCTTACTTGTGTATTATCTATTATTATTATTAATTATTTCTTTGCAGTCTAAAGACAAAAAAATGTCCGATGTCGTTTTTGCTTTAATGATGATTCTTTTAATTTTTATTTATTATATATATTTTAAACTTTGACCTCCGATATCATTTATCTAAATGAATGGTTCTAGAAAAAAACGTAAACGTTTATTTTTTGTAAAGCGTGAAATTTCCTACAAAAATGTGTCTTATGAGTTATATTCTACACATACAACGATAAACCCTTAGAAGTTATAAAGTCGTTGTATCAAACAATCGAATTAGGTTCTATTATTGTATTTGAATCGTTCAGATGGTATTAAAAGCTAAAAGCTAAAATAAATGTTTATTTTTAAAAACACATCTTCACAAAACCAAACCAAAACTGGCGTAGTCGGTAGGATGTGCTAAACGTGTTTTTCTATGGCAGAAAAAACGTCACTTAGTTAGTGCTCCGAACAACGAAGACAAAAATTGCAGACTTGAACAACCCAGGGACGAAGACAAAAGTCGCAGACTCCTTGGCTAGGCTAAGTTAGGTTTAGAAAGAAGAAACAAAAGCAAGACACGAACAAATGAATCATTCTTCTCATAGTACTGTAAGTCTCATTTTCGTTTCTATTTTCACCCCTTACATTTAATAGTGTAATTGCAATCAAATATTTTCTTTGCTAAACTTTTGTAAATGATTACTTATTAAAAACAAAATGGCTCAAAACGGTAACGTAGCGGTGCTGCTGCTACACAACCCAAAGCAGTATATTACGTATTTTTAAGACTATATATAGATTCAATACCAAATTACAAAGGAAATCCTCATACTTTAGGAGTACTTTTAGAATCATGTTAAAATTTTATAACATCTTTCTTTGACCCAAACAACCAACACAGACAAGATGGCGCCACCGCCGGATGATTCTGGGGCGGGTGGTAGTCAAAAAATTACGAAAAAGTATGATTTTTGTGGTAATAATTTTTGAAATTATATCATATGTAAATCCTGCTGTTTTGTTATTCATAGCAAGTGTTTTGATCTGGTTAGCAAACTTTTTAATGTAAGTGAAACGTGGTGCAAAAAGTGAAATCAGGAAGAAAGTGCATCTAACGCACCAAGTCAAGTTTAAGTGATAAATGAAAATTCAGCAGAGACAGAGTCCCTTAATCGTGAATTATTATTGTACAAAACGTTAGTTAAATAAATTACAAGAGATGAGGTTACAAGACATATCAGCAAAAAACTTAATCGTCATTCCTGAAAAAAGAACCTTGCCGCTACTTTACAGCGAGAAAACAAAGGTAAATAAACAATCAGCTGGCCTGTTTATTAAATCAAACACAGAGGTGCAATCGTCCGATTTTATGAAAGAACTGCGTAACAAAATTAACCCAGCGGCGTTAGATATTCAAATAAGTAATACTAAAGTGGCGAAAAGCGGCATAATAGTTACATGCGATGGCGAAAATTCCAAGGAGAAATTAAAGAAAAGCCTAGAGGATTGTTTTGGCGAACAATTAACTGTATCCGATGCTAATAAATCTAGCGCATGCTGCGCTATATAGCTATAGCGCCGGGGGTTGCCAGTAAACTGACAATAGAGTCGTGGGGTCCAGTATAGGTTTGTCCGCCGATAGTGACTGTTTTTTATTATAGTATATGTTTAAAACAATCATATCGTAAAAATTAATTAGGCTGGGTGTTTTCACCACAGGAATCCTCATAATTACAAAAGAACAAACAATAGTCTGTGTATTCGGGCTCGCGCGCGTACATTGGCGCTATCGCGAGTGTATTTGCGCTGTCGCGCATGTATTTGCGCCTTTTAAATGTCATATACATTTATCTTGCTAAAGTAAAGTTATCTGCCTCAATTAAAAAAATCTCAAAAAAGCATCAATTTTGTAAATAAAAAAATCTATATCCAAAAAACAAATAAAGATGAACTTGTTTGGTTTCTAAAAAATAATTTGTCCTAAAAATGCCTTCTGTTTAAGTCATATAAATTTAAATTAGAAAAAAACAAACAATAAAATTTTTATTCGGACTCGCGCGCGTATATTTGCGCTGTGGCGCATGATTTGCGCCTTTTAGATGTTATATAAATTTATCTTGCTAAAGAAAAGTTATTTGCTTAAAATAAGAATTCTAAAAAATATCCTAAAAACAAATAAAGAATGACTTGTTTTGTTTTCACAAAATTATTTAATAAAAAAAACCTTCTGTTTATGTCATACATTGAAATTACCAAAAAACAGACAATATTATTTGTATTCGAGGTCGCGCGCGTACATTTGCGCTATCGCGCGTATATTTGCGCTATCGCGCGTATATTTGCGCTATCGCGCGTATATTTGCGCTATCGCGCGTATATTTGCGCTATCGCGCGTATATTTGCGCTGTCAAGCATGTATTTGAGTATATTTAAAGTTATATACATTTATCTTGCTAATGTAAAAATTTTTGCTCAAATTTGGAATTTTCAAAAAGAAGCGTCAATTTTTTAGTTAAAGAAATGATAACCCAAAAACAACCAAATTTATAAAAAGAAATTGTCTCAAAATAATTACGGTTATTTTATAATATAAAAATTTACAACCATAAAAATTCATTATATTTATGTCATATACATTTAAATTAAAAAAGAACAGACAATTATTTGTATTCGGGCGCGCGCGCGTACATCTCCTTTTAAATGTCATATACATTTATCTTGCTAAAGTAAAGCCTTAAATAAAAAAATCTCAAAAAAGCATCAATTTTGTAAATAAAAATATCCCAAAATCAAATGATAAACTTGTTTTTTTTAAATAAGCTGTCCTAAAAATGCCTTCTGTTTAAGTCATATAAATTTAAATTACAAAAAAACAGACAATAAAATTTGTATTCGGGCTCGCGCGCGTATATTTGCGCTATCGCGCGTATATTTGCACTGTCGCGCATGTATTTGCCCCTATATTATATAAATTTATCTTGCCAAAGAAAAGTTATTTGCTTCAAATAAGAATTCTAAAAAATATCCTAAAAACAAATAAAGAATGACTTGTTTTGTTTTCACAAAATTATTTGATAAAAAAATACCATCTGTTTATGTTATACATACATTTAAATTACCAAAAAACAGACAATATTATTTGTATTCCAGGTCGCGCGCGTACATTTGCGCTGTCGCGCAATGTACTTTCTATTGCGTATTTTTAATGTTATACACATTTATCTTTCTAAAGTCAAGTTTTTTGCCTCAAATTTGGAATTTTCAAAAATAAGTGTCAATTTTTTAGTTAAAAAACAAATATATAAAAAGAAATTGCCTCAAAACAATTACTGCGCGCCTTTATTCTTTTATTTTTACAATTGCTAGTTGGCACATTTTGTGAAGATGGCATAATATTTTAGTGGTAATTTTTGAAGACCCAGAAAAAACGTTATTATTGTTTAATATATAAAAAAAATAATTAACTGATGACACTTCAACTATTTTTTAGTTTGAAGGTGTAATTTTAAAGAAAAAACAACATTTTTTGTTTATTAGGGCTCGCGCGCGTACATTTGCGCTATCGCGCCTGTATTAACAATGTATATATATATATATATATATATATATATATATATATATATATATATATATATATATAATATGTATACGTGCGTGAGTGGGTAATAAACTTTGAATTAAAAGTGTGGAAATTAGTTTTTAATGTTTACAATTAAAAAAAATATCTTACCGATGACACTCCGGAATATTTTTGTTTGAAGTTCTTATTTTAAAAAACAACCAAAATTCTGTGAAATCGGGATCGCGCGCGTACATTTGCGCTATCGCGCATATGTGGGTATAAACTTTATGTGCAACGACTGAATTAAAGGTGTGTTTAAAATATTTAAAAAAATAATTTACCGATGACACTCCGGAAATAGCCAAATATATTTTGTTTTAATGTCTTATTTTAAAAAACAACCAAAATTCTGTGAATTCGGGCTCGCGTGCGTACATTTGCGCTATCGCGCATAAATTCGCGCTTTCGCGCGTGTATTTGCGTTATATAAATGATTTATTTTTTACCCTTGGGACACAGGTATCGCTAATCGGGAGCAAATGTGAATACGTCAAATCTGACGTTTTTTTAAACAGCTGAAAATCCGTTTCCGGGTTTTCCGAAAATCTTCCGGTTTGTGGAAAATTTAAAATATTAAAAAAAATAACTTACCGATCACACTCCGGAAATAGCCGAATAGTTTTTGTTTGAAGGTCTTATTTTAAAAAACAACCAAAATTCTGTGAATTCGGGCTCGCGCGCAAATGTACGCGCGCGAGCCCGTACAAACAATCTAAAAAATAAAAAATCCACTGGTTGGGATGAAATTCCAACAAAAATTATTAAAAGGTGCGCATACGTCATAGCAAGTCCTCTTAGTCATATTATAAATCTTTGCTTTTTAAGTGGCGTTTTTCCGGATGGATTAAAGTTGGCTATTGTCAGGGTTTTGCATAAAAAGGGTCCTGAAACTAATGTTAATAACTATAGACCTATTTCCTTATTACTTTTCAAAAATACTGGAAATATCAATTTCTACCAGTTTGATAAAATATTGTAATAAACATTGTATAATTTCTAAACATCAATATGGTTTCGTTACTATACGGAATTAGCAATATTTAATTTTGTTGATAGGATCATGGACCTTTGGAATAGTAAAACTCTGGCAGTATCTGCCTTTTTTGACTTATCCAAAGCCTTTGACACCATGGATAAAGAACTATTGGAGTTGAAATTAGAAAGATATGGCATAAGAGGTACTGCGCTAAATTTATTTAAATCCTATCTGTCCAACCGAAAACAAAGGGTAAAAATATCATCGGAAATGGGATGGAGTTATATTCCAATACAGTGGAGTTAAAAAAAAGGAGTTCCTCAGGGCTCAATTCTTGGCCCACTTTTGTTTATTTTGTGTGTAAATGATTTGCCCCAATGCCACGACAATATTTTTATGTATGCAGATGATACTACTTCAATCAGTCTTGTCCCAGCCCTCGAGTGAGTAAGTCGATGTAGCGGAGTCAGAGAGTAAACGTAAAACGTTAAAACCATAACCGACAAATAAGCCCTCATAGTGCAAACAACTATAGTGTAACAAATACAGTCAGTGTAGACCCTACGGTCAATAATTAGTTAAGGGCCAAGTGAAAAGGAAGAGTGAAGTGACAAGTGCAAACGAACATAGTGAAACGGTCAAAAGAGTTAAGTGTTAAGTGACAAGAAAGAGTTAAGTGACAAGTGTCAGTGCCTGAGCGGTCGCACCATCTGTCAACAGGACGATTTGCACTGGCCAAACAAAAGAGGCCAAACAAGGGAGGAACAGGCCACCTGCAAATAAATGCTAAGTATCCTCAACTCATCCGCATGACCTAACACATAATTTGCAAATTAAACTAAACAAGGCACATTGCCTAATCCCTACAAAAAACAATAATCATCGGCAACAAATAAAATAAAAAGTCAACTTTCCAAGAAAAAACCAAACAGCCGATCGCGGACCCACACCAAAGTTGAACAGGGCAATAAAGCTGTCAACAAAACAATTGAAGTATAACAAACCGAGACCAAATAAATTTGACACTTAAGACATAAATAACACATAAACTAAGAAAACATAAACAAAGTAAAAAAAGCACTCTAATCAAATTCCATGGAATTTGTACACATTAGACTTTATAGTAAAAGTAAAAAAATAACCCCCACTGGGAACTGCCTTATCGCATGACACGTTAGCACAAAACATGCACTTCTCACAAATTAACAAGACCAGTTGGGAGCAACTAAGCAACAATAAAAATAAAATAAAAAAAAAACAACCGACACACTTTACCAAATTCGGGAACTATCCGACACGGACAATGACAATAATGAACAAGACGAAGACCTCGACTAGGAAACTACACCCCTGCAGCAATAACAACTCCCCAACTCCAAATAGTAATCCCAAATGTTTGGAGTAATACTAATCGACTGGTCTAGGGGGATTCCGCGTCTTACTTAGTTTTAAGTCGGCGTAATTGTCCCCCAAAAACCAACACCCTCCCGTCCCTCCTCCATACCCCACTGAGCGTATAGCATAGGCTCGGCGAACCCGGGAATGGCTATTAAAACTATTCGCCTCTGGCTCTCGAGCCCCAAATAGGGGACAGTACGGAACGCAATGGACATTCACACCCATCAAACACGGGTGAAGCCGTGCAGTTGCTGGGGAAGAACAAAAATCGGCGTAAGTAAACATAGGCCTGTACGGGGTTCGAGAGTCAAGAGGAAATGGGGCTGGTTATACGTCTCTTATACTCATACTCATACTCATATGCAGATGATACTACTTCAATTTTTAAATCCTCTACTAAAAATGATTTAATAACTAATATTAATTTAACACAAAAAAATATATTTCAATGGTTTCAAAATAATGGCCTTAAGTTAAATGTTGACAAAACACAGTACATAAAATTTGGAGAGTATGGGTTTACCAATAACAATACTAATATTAACAATAAATGTACCATCAAGTTGAGTACTTC